GATTTGAGTTTTTGGTTTGGGTGTGAAAGAGCACTTGATAAGAAAATATGCTAGAACTTGAGCCTTAATGGCTTTCCTTGGCTTGTATTCAATGTGGAACTCACTAAGTTTGACACTTCACTTTATAATTTTTTTTGAAAATGTCTATCTTATGCAGAACTTCCCTGAGTGGGTGGTCTATTAACATAATTATGGCATGTGCTTGAAAATATTATCTCTATTAGGGAGCTATCATGACCAGTGCAAAAGCTATCTTTTCTAACCTTATGTAATTAACATCCATATTCTGTAAGGCCCCACTAGCATAATACACTAGCACTTGGCTTTCATTGGCTTTCTTTAGTAATATTATTGCTATTGTTTCATCAGAAGCTACCAGATATACATATAGTGGTTCGGTAATAATTGGGCTAGTAAGTAAATGTGGTGAATAGAGATATTTTTTAGTTTTTTGAAGGTCTTTTAATATTGTTTATCCCACTTAAATCTTGTTGCACTTTGAAGAACCTTAAATAATGGTAAATATTTATCTACTAATTTAGATACGAATATATCAAAGGCTACCACTTGACCTATCAACCTTTAAATTTCGTTAGTGGTATTTATGGGGCTTGTATTTAATATAACTGTCACTTTCTTAAGGTTTGCTTTTACATTTTTGTTAGAAACCATAAAGCCTAAAAATTTTCTTACTTGCATATCAAATGTACATTTGATAAAATTCAACTTAATCTTATATTTTCTTATAATGGTGAAGGCTTTTGCTAAGTCTCGAATGTGTTGTTTCAAGGAAGGACTCTTAACTAGCATATCATCTATATATACCTTCAGAGATCATTAAATTTGTTCATTGAAAATTTCATTCACCAGTCTTTATTAAGTGGCATTTGCATTATTTAATCCAAAAGGCATCAATGTGTAATATAATAGGCCATCCTCAATTATAAAAGGATGTTTTCTCTTATTCCACCATTGCCAGCTTGATCTGATTGTATCCTGAGAAGGCATCAATAAAACTTAGATATTTATGGCTCTTAGAAGGGTCCATTAATCTGTCTACTGAAGAGAGAAGAAAATTATCTACTGATAGGAGAAAAAAATTATCTTTTAAACATGCTTTATTCAAATCAGTGAAGTCCACACACATCTTTCATTTACCATTTACTTTCTTCACCATAACCACATTAGCAAGCCAATCAGGATATTTAACCTCCTTTATATATCTAACTGCCAGTAATTTGTCCATATCTTCCCTTACTACTTGAATTCATTCAGGGATAAAACTCTATTTTCTTTTATTTGATTGGTTTGTCAACTAGGTCAACATTCAAATGATGAGTGATCACATGCTCATCAATCCCAGTGATGTTCACTCAGTGTAGCTACAAATTGAGTAGTAGCATTAATGGTAAGAGTCAATGTCTCTAAAAAATACAATTGGTGAGACATAGTTATCATTCCCATAAATGGCACTAATTGTTATGGTATTTTTAGATGTCTTAATTGGTATGAGGGGAATAAAGTTAAATGAAAAAACAACCATCAAAGAGCATGATCAAAGGGCACCAGAGTTGTTACTCCAGGGCACGTTTTGACATTTAAGTCAATGTAGTATCTGAAGTAGGGTAAAAAAGTAAATAGAAAAGATAAGGAAATGGTGAAGAGTGTGTGTGTTCCTTAGAAAAGGGAAATGAAGTATGTTATTGTTCTTGACGTGTTACCTTGAGTATCTTCGTTACTTTTTGTGTAAGACAAATGATGATAATTTGACTGAAATGATTAACAATTGATAGGATATTCATGTGTAGCTTGATGAAGAGCCATGAGAATGGATGGAAATTACATTTAATGATTTTAAGGAAGTGAGGTATGCATTTAATGATTTTAGGGCGGCATTTAATGATCCTAAGCAAGTTGGTAGCCTATTGTTTGTTTCGAAGTGATTACCTTGATAAGTCATTGGTGAGACCTTGGACAAATCCTTCCTTTGATAGGTGGCAAATTATCCCCTTAAAGCAAGTGATGTTAATGTTTAGACTTGTTTCACCCAAGCCACTCAAAGTGTTGACGAAGCTTTGACCATTGATTGATTAACTTTGGTGTAATAAAGTGAAACCTAATGATTGGTTGGTTCATGAAAATTAGCCAATTTTATTGTTTGTAGAGTGATCATCTGTTAGGTTTGCTAAATGGTTGGGCTTTGATAAAAGACATTAACATGTTAAAGTCTTAGCACTGGTGAAAAGTAAACATTGAAAATAGGCATGTACTATGCGATCACATTAGTCATTTTCGTTTAATCGTATTATAGCCCTTTCTCATACTTATGCTAAGATTATGACATCACATCTACAAGATTACAATATGATTCTTTCTAAAATTAGTAAAAATCTCCTGTATATATAAGGTACTCTGAAACAAACTTTCATATAATTGAAAATACAAAAATTCTGTTTCTTATCACATTGTTGATCATGATGTTAAGATTGCAACTCATTTTGCAACTTTTAAATCCAATTGAACACCTGTTATAAAATGAGTTTTGTATAAATTGTTAAGCTTTTCATACTCATTGTTTCAATTCTTTCCAGAAAATAAGCTTTTTTTTTTATTATTTAAGTAGGGATATCAACAAAGGGATAAACTTCTATAAAGTTTCTTAGGTGAAATTCGTAAAACTTCTTATTAGAAATGATTAAATAAAAACTAAAATCAAAAATCAAAATTAATAGATTAAAAGCTCTTGTTACATAAATCGAGTGTGTACAATTTTAAAATTTTTTAATAAATTTTGATATATATTTTTAGATCAATAGTTTTAGTAAAAATATTTATAGAATTGTTACTGTTAAATAAGCATTGATCAAATTTAAATTATAGATAATTTTTTAATAATTTTTTTACATATTATTGATATTCACATTGAACTCTATCAATTTGTTGGGTTTGATTTTTAATTAAAATTTTTATTAAATTATTTTTAAGAAAAAATTTCATAAACTTTACTTAACTTCATATAAGTTTTATCCTATCAATAAGTTGAAAGTGCATTCATCATCCTTACGCTCATTTTCAAACTCTCTTCGTCCCCACCTTTGAAGAAAAAATATTTCCATCCTTATTCTCACGAAATCTAAAAAGAAAAGGAATTTTCATCTTCTAGCATTTGAAAATTATAAATACAAATATAAATACAAATACAAATTGAAATATGTAGTTATTTTTTAATTTATAGCATAAAAGTTAAAACTATTATAATTTTAAAATAACTAAAAATTACAAACACATATAACAAAAAAATTTAAATTTAAATTACACAAATTCTCCAAATAAAGTTTACATAAGAGCAAATTAATATATACTTATATATATATATATATATCTTGGAGTTAGGTTTAATTTCTCTTTTAAATTTTAAGTTACATTTAAAAAAAATTGCATTCTTAAAATTTATACTTCTAAGTCAAAACGACAAAGAGGTGAATTCGAGTGAGTTTGAGTTGAATAATTTTGAGTTCAGATTATATTTGATTTGAATTATTTTAGATTTGAATAATTTTGATTTGAGTTATTTTGGATTTAAATAATTTTATGTTTGAATCAATTTAGATTTGAGTTTTTTTAAGATAAATTTAAGTTTGGATTTGAATTAATCAAATTATTTTTAAATTTTATAAAAAATATAATTATTTTATTATCTTTTCATGTTTAGATTTTTTAAATTTTAAGTGCTTTGAATTTAAATTTTTTTTTTGAATTTGAGCAGTTTTAAGTTCTAATATATGAATTTTATAAATTAAATCGAATTTTAACAATTTCATATTTTTCTTTTTTACAGATTTTTGGGTTGAGATTCATTTTACCTCATCTTCACTCTGGCCTCCAGGATTGTTGTTATATTTCCAAACTTTTCAAATTTGGTCTGCTCACTGTACCTCAATTAAAAGTAAATTAATCTTCCATTCAACACCCTCTTTTCATTATTTTATAGTTTTCTAAAAAAAGTTTATATATGATCTTGATGGGAGGGGCAATTACGTAAAAATTTGAACTCCTTTGACGTGGAATCTATGCAAATAAATTACAAAGACGAAGAATTATGGGAGGGGCAATTACGTAAAAATTTGAACTCCTTTGACGTGGAATCTATGCAAATAAATTACAAAGACGAAGAAACAGGAGGAAAAAAGAAAAAGAAACAAAGTAATAAAGTAACAAGTAATGGACAACCTTAAATCATGGTCGTCATGATTCTTTTCTTTTTCTTGGATGGAAGAGATCATGATCGTTAAATTAATAATTAATCATCATGTGATTAAAGTAGGTGGGCCACACAAGCATACTGCTTTCTCAAAGCATCTTTAATCAATCAATTAATTTACTTTAGAACTGATTCTTTGCTCCTAAGAAATTTGGGAATTATACTTTGCTTGACCTATTACCAAAAAAAAAAAAAAAAATCCCCTAAAATTTGTTCTCTATACTAAGGTTGCTTAACATACACGTTTGTCAAAATTTTTTTATTTTATTTTTAGAAAAATATCAAATATAGTAATAATAAAATTTTTAAATTCAATAAAAAGAGGTAACAAGTGAAAAAAACCTTGATTTATACTAAAATAAAAAAATAATTTAAAAAAGTATATATGTCAATTTTTTAATTTCTTTTGTTAAGTTAAAATTTTTTTATTATTAATATATCAAATAATTTTTTTATTTTTATGTAAAAAATGCATGACATCAAGTAGTTAATATCCTAATGGAAAATTTGAAATTCTAAATTAAAGTTTTATTTCAAATTTTAAGATTTTAAAAAAATTAAAGTTATGAAATTAGAAAAAGGTATTTTTTTTATTATATGTCATGTACATATATAAAATGTTTGGTATTAAATTTTTTAATTCCATTCATTAGTATTCAATCTTTGATATATACATTTTTATTTAGTTAAATTCTTAAAAATATAACATTTTAATATTATGTAATATTTAAAAAAATCTAATAAATTCGATTTAATTTAAACATTATCATGTCTACTCATGTCCCAAGAATGATAGTTTTGTAAATAATCTAATTGGAAGGTCCATTTTGTTGGATGGCCTTTCTCTCCCGCTCAGCAAACTTGGCAATTTTTATCCGTTCTCTTAGAAACCCTAAACACGACCAAGAAACACAGAATAGCACTGAGATTTTAATGGAGCAGCTTTTGACTGTAAATCCCCTTTTTTACCTTTAATTTCTCTCAGAAAACCTGTAAGTAACCTTTTTTTAGTTGTGTTTCAGTTTCTATTTTTTTTCTTTTTTACGATTTTGCACTTCTGTTAATGGCATCTAATTTATTGTTTAAAGTCAATTTATTTATGAATGTTTTAAGCTCAATTGTTGGTGTCAAAAGTTGTCAGAAAGTGTTAATTTGATTAGAATTTGTTTTGAAAATTTTGAATTTGAGCTTATTATCATTGTTTGATTGTTAAGAATGAATTTGAAAAGGAAATGGAACTGAAATGTGAAACCTTGTAGTTCGTTTCTTTCTGATGTGCTCAACTAAGTAAACTGATGAAAATTGGATTTTTTAATGTTGTTGACGGCAATTATGCAAACAATTTTCCTTTAAATTCAGTTGTTCAGCTCATTGAAGCTTAGAAACTTATTATGATCTTGAGCAATATTTGTAGTTGCTATTGGATTTACTTTTTTTTTTTTTTTTTTTGCAGTGTAATCCTGCTGGTGGGAGGCAATTCTGAAATGGCTATGGAGAGCTGTCACGATGTAAATGATAGTGTCGTGTCACGTGGTGATGCATCTATTAATGGGTTGGTGCACATTGGTGATGCTTTAAAAGAGAGTGAGGAATTAGATGTTGACTTTCTCAATGAATTTGATTCATATGTGGAAGACATCAAGGACCGGTTGACCATTTCTAGGATGGTGAGTGACTCGGTCATCAGGGGCATGGTCAATGCTGTTGAGCAAGAGGCAGCTGATAGGATTGCTCAAAAAGAGTCAGAGTTAGTGAGGTTGAAGAAAATGGTGAATCCTTGCCATGTTGGTTCAGATGAAAACGAACCCCTGAGATCTTTAATTAAGCACTATGAATCGAAAATTGGTGTATTTTCAAGATTGTCAAATGCTTTATTTGAGCATGAGAAGATGCTAGAATCTTTTGGCAATCTTAAAAATGCAGCTAAAAGGCAGTTTAAGAATCTCAGGATAAAAATTGACCAAATCAGAGGGCATAGTTCTGTTAGGAAGATTAATTCAGTTTCTGAGTTGGTGGGATTGGGTGGTATTTTGCAAGAGGATGAACCCGAAAAATGGATTGATGTGGATAAAACACTTGATTCCTTAAGAATAACCCTGGACTCTGTTTATGAGCACGCTGATGATATTTTTTACTCATCCAAGGCTTCACTCTGTCAATGGCAGCTGGAGCGAGAATACCGGGAAGAAGTTGAACAGATGGTGGTTTCAACTTGTATTCGGAGTTTGAAGGAACAATTTGAAGAAAGACTATGGGATCAAAATGTTCAATCGTATGGTAATGAAAATGTAAATTGGATTGAGAAGATCAATGAGATTTCCAGTTTGCGTCTGGAATTAGATGCCATTTCTAAATCACTGTCTAATCCTGAAACTGGAATGCTTAATTCTAATAGTTCCATGGAAATCAACAGTGATTTGAGTAACAATAAAATGACTGATCATTTGCATCAGAGGGATTCAGGGAATCATGTTTCATCATCAGCTTCACATTGGGAAGGAAATGGTAAGCATGGAGAATTAGTAATTACTGTGCCAGAAAATTTGGATGCTGCTCGACTAAAACTCATGTCAAAGGAGGATTTGGTGAATTTTTTCAAGACTGAGATGACAAAAATGAAGAGGGATTATGACTACAAACTACTAGAGATGACTGAAAAATATTATAGCGTCAAACGGGAGTACTTCAAAGAGAGGGTTTCATCTCTTCCATCTAGGAAGGATAAGGAGTTTGATGTGTTGAGGAAAAAGATCCCAGATGTCATTGTGAAATTGGATAGGATTCTTGTGGAAAATGAAAAATTTCCTGTATTAAGTAATAATAATGAGAAGCTCATCATTTTCAAGGATAGATTAGAATCCCTTCTCTCAGAAAATCATCAACTGAGAGACTCACTCTCCAATAAGAAAAAGGAAGTTAACCTCCTTTCTTCACAAGTTTCTGATGCCATAGAGAAAATCTCACAGTACTCTCTGACTGAGGAAAACTTACTTAAAAAGGTAGAAAACCTTGAGTTTGCTGTTGAAGATGCACATATTGAAGCTGCCATTAGTGGGGATGTATATAACTGCTTCATCAGGGAGGCAATTAGCCAGCTTAAGTGGATCAGTGAAGTTTCAGAGATGGAGCGCAATATCATGAAAGAAATTTATGAGCTTATACTAAAAGATGCTTCTTGCAATATGTCACATGCCAGCAAGAGTGAATTTAAAGATTCTGATTTGGAATCTTTGATTATGGAAGGATTATGCACAATCATGTTCAGAGAAGCCTTCACAGAAGCCAAGGAGAAACTCCATGACTTAAGTATGGATGTATTTGAGAAGGAAAGGATACTAACACTGGAAGTTGCAGAGAAGGAAAAATTGCAGCAACAAATGCTCCTAGGGGAATCGGTGATTGATGAAAAGAAGAAGTTACTTAATGAAACAGCAGCTGCACTGGCAAGAGAAAAGGAGAAAGTTATGGTGGCTTCTCAAGAGCTTGACATTCTAAGGGATCAGACAAATCAGCAGCAAATGATCATTTCTAAGTGCAATAAAGAATCCAGTGTTCTGAAAATCAAACTCCTTCAAGCATTGGACAAACTTGAACAAAATAAAGTGGAGATATGTGATTTAAATCTGAAGCTTGACCAGACAGTTAAAGATTTGAGGGAAAGCAATGGTGAGATACGGAGGCTTCTTGTTGCTGCCCAAGAGAAGGAGAGCATTTTATCATTGGTTAAAGCAAATGAAGATGAGCATAGAAAACAGATGGAATCAATAATTATTCTTGTTGAAGGACTATCTGAGGCAGTTGCTGGTTTTGAATGTCGAGTAGCAGAAGCTATGAAGAGGAGTAATCTAAGGTACATTCTCAATCTCTATTACTTTTTCCTATTTCCTGATTGATAAATCTTCTTTTAAGGGATGCTTGGAGAAGTCTTCCGGGATGTTGGTGGGTCTCATAACACTCTTTATGCTGTAAGAGATAGAAAATTGTCTCCACTATATGTTCTTATCTGTCCTTGCAAATGAATAGAAGGTTATAAGTGGAAAGAAACCCTTAACTTGAAGTTGTTAAACTGTGGCATGTTCCCTAACCAAATGAATCTTATCCTAGGTTTTCTCATTATGGTTATAACTGTTGAACTGCATTGTTTTCCTCTCAAATTTATGACATTGGATTTTTCCCTCAGCCCATGGCTTTCTTAGTAAAGGAAGATAGACTTAAGCTCTGTCTCTCTTTCAAGATCGACTTAAGTTCTGTATCTATTTCAAGACAGACTTGTGGAGGAAAGGCATATAAGTATTGACTTTTGAATTCATTAATTTCAGTTTCTAGTGTTCTGCTATTTCCATATTGCTAATACTCAAAAGACTGGTTAATATTGTCAAGAGAGTTTGATTGCGCTCATTCTTATCACATTTAACCTGTCACCTAAAACTGATTGAGAGAGCTTTCATTTTGTTGTAGATCAGATCCTTATTGATATAAATGACTTCTTGTTGCTATTTGTCTATGATGTCTGTCAGTTTTTAATTCCACAATTGACTGAGATAGCCCTGCCAACCCCTCATTCCTGCCTCATGCAAAATGGTTGATCTCTTTTATTTAATCAGCACGTCCAGGACCGTATAATGGGAATATTGATTTATAGATTGTATATCCATTAAGTTAAGCTCATTTAGATTTTTTTAAAAATCAACTTTCACTCTGGTCTATTTCCTCAGCTTTCATTGGTGTGCAACCTTGTGTCCTTTGGTCAAATTTATGTTTATATATGGCCCATCAACTTTAATTATCCTTGGATTATAGTTTGGTTTGATATTTTGGCACTGAGTTTTCATCCATTTATTTTATTTTATGTAGTACTTGCATTAATTTGGAGGTGGAATTTTGTATTGCATTTATTAACATCAAATGGTTCAATTTTCAGGTTGGAAAATTTGAGCTCCCAATCTGGTTCTCTTATTCAGATGGCAAATATATTGAAAAGAAAGGGATTGCAATATAAGCAGAATCTTGAAAGGAGATGTTCCGACCTTGAAAAAGCTGAAACTGAGGTATGTCAGAAGATTTACACTTTACATAAGTGCATTAGGAAGCATTAACACCTTCCATTCTGTGATGGCTTTTTACATACATGATGTTGTAAAATGAATTTCAGAAGGGATAAATATTCTTGGCAGCATTTTCAATAATGATAAACCAAGCTATGTCTTCTAAAGTACTAGTAATGACATTTTATGTGTGAATTGCTTTTCTCCCTTTATCAATTAGTAACAGTTTAGTAAGAAAACTACCAAAAGGGTAGTGTAGCAATATAGCAGTGAGTATTCTACAAGTTATTTCACCTAATGGACTGTGCACTGGTGTGTGGAATATATGTTTTATGATCCCACATCATTAAACAGTAAGAAATGCAAAATGGAAGAGGAAGAAGAACTCAATCTTTTTCTGTCATGAAAGTTTTCATTGACAAAAAAGAAGAGATAGATATTATGGCTGGGCCCTTTGAACAGAAGTGCTGACTTGTGATTCAATGTTTAAGTATTATTTAAATTACCCCATTTAAGTTTTTGCATTAGTGGTATGCAGTTTATGTAGCTTGAACCAAAGTTGAGAAGATCATTGAGTATCATTGATTGAATTCATAATTGAGCATTAGTATTTGGTAGGATATTATTATTTACTGTGTTTTCCTCTTGTATTGAAGGTCGATCTCTTGGGTGATGAGGTGGAAGTACTTTTAGGTCTTCTTGAGAAAATATATGTAGGGCTTGATCATTATTCCCCAATATTGAAACATTATACTGGAGTAAGTTCTTTCTTTATTCCACTGAATTTTTTATCATTATATTTCTTAAAATGGAGTCAAATTTATTTCGTGTCTATGCAACTTTTCTTGGTTCGTAAAGCATCAATGATAACTACAGGACTTAGATTATACTAATCTTGTTTGCCTACTATGTATTATACAAATCTTGTTTGCTTGCTGTGTATTATGCAAATACTTTCTTTGTTTTCAAACTGAGGATATCCTGTGCAAAAAAATTTTTAATTGGCTGGACTTGATGATTTAATGAGGATGCCCATGTGGAAAGGGAGATGGAAGATCAAAGAAGACATTGGCGGTAACTATAAAAAAGACACATAGTCCATTTAGGCGACCACACATAGTGGAACTTTGTTACTGGGACTTAGTTACAGGCAAAAAGTTATGTGACCAAAGAAAATGCAAGAATCAAGTCATAGAGTTTCCAAGGTCTTCACAATTTTCTGACATTTTCATTTGTCTGAATATATATTGTTGCATTGTCTGTTTTTGTCTACCTCGCTTCTGGTTTTTGCATTTGTACAACCTATAGAGATTATTTGTTCACTGAATTCAAATTGCGAAATAATTGGAAACTTCGTTCTTTTTCTGTTTTCTTTTGTTTAAAAAAAAAAAGAATTTTGCTTACATGTTCTTTAAGTACTAGCAGAAATAAAAGTGTAGTTTTGTTGTTTGAATATCACATGGGATTGAAAGAGCATCCTTAATTTCAAACCAGGATCTAAGTATCCTTTAACCAAGTTTGTGTTTTAAGTGGTCATCCTTGCTTCAAGAATTATTTTTCACCTAAGAGGAAGGTAATAGCATATATATACCATGAAGTTTCTTGGTGGCCAAGAGACAAGGTACAACATCAGTTCTATGCTATTTGATTTCACACATATTTAGGCTTTTGAAGACAAATTTGGTGGGAAAGGCTCATAATAAGGCTCATAATAAAATCATTTGGAGAGTGATTCAGTCTTACACAATGTGGACATCGTGGTTGGAGCCTAATAATGGAGTGGTTGGGGGTATCTCTGCGATCAGTTTAGATTCTTGTAACCCTTTTAAACGGGTTATCTGATTCAAGTCTGTTTCTCTTGTATTTGATTTGGCAGACTGCCAGCTGTATAAGCGTGCATACTTCCAATATCAATATTATTCAAATTTCTTTCTGTTATACTTTTATCAGTAGAGTATTGTTGTTTTTTATAGGGATATTTCAATTATTTTTTTCTTTAAAATTTGATTAAATTAGACTCCATTTGTTGTTGCTTTTGCCATCTTATTTCTGCTTCCAAAAACAAAAAGCACATTTGGAACAAATCAAGTAGTGTTTTTTATTTTTCTCCATAATGTACCTCACTCTTTTCATATTTATTTCTTCCTATTTATGGAAGAAAGGAAAACCCAAGAAACTTGGGGTTTTAAAAGTCAATGGTTAAATTTAATGTTGTTTATAATGTTCACGTGAGTGTTTCTGTAACTTTCCAAGAATTAAATTCTTTTTGAGTCTATAAATTGTCTCCTTCCTAACTATCCTTCTAATTTGATGACTGAAATATGACAAATTCCCACCTTCACCTCTCTCCCAAAGAGGATGTCCCAAGTTCTAATCTACCACCCTCAAACTTTCCCAAGAAGAAAAGAAAAAAAAAGAAAGGACAGATGGTTTCAGTTACAAAGCTTATACTTGAATCTGCCTAGAAGGCAAACATACTGATAAGGAAAAATATTGGTTTGAAGAATATCTTAGCTAGTTCATGCTTGGATTACCCTGTAAAACGTGTCAGTTTATTGGTTTATTAACTAAAATTATCATACCTGAATACCTTTGATTTCCTGTTTATGCAATTTTCAACCTATCGTATGGTCATTTTAATAATAGAGTGAGAATAAGTAACTAGTTTGTTACTTTGCTCTTTGTATGTATTCTTTTGAATATTCATTTTAATGAAAAAAATGGAATATATATGAAGAATTAGTAACTTGTTGTGATGTTCTGATAATTCAATAGTAGCTTAGCCATGCCCATAATTTCAATAAATTTGTCTCTATGCATCAAAAATTTGACATTTGTAAGTATATTGTTTTGCTTGTTTTTCAGGTTATGGAGATACTGAAGCTGGTTAGAAGGGAATTGAGTGGAGAATCTACTAAGTCAGTTTGATTTATCCTTCAGTAGGTAGTGTTTTTAATTAACTTAATGCTTCAATGCAATCAAACTAAGTGCTGAAGAGGAAAAAGAAATGCACCAAAAGCCAATTTGAATTGCCCCTACGATTGAGCTGTCATATAATGTGTTTATTTGTTTGACTATATTACTGTAGTTTAAGAAAATTTTTCTTAACTTCTCTAATTTGTTTTTGTTGACAGATGAAAGGTCGATAACTTTTTTGCCCCTGCATTAGCTACTTTTTTGCTATTCAGCAGTTTGGGAAGGAATCATGGTCAACAAAAAGTTTACCTCTGCTGAAACAATCAAGAACAAAATCTTCCCAGGTGAACCCAAAAAGATACACCCTTATCTATGTTGATTATGTTCTTCCCTCTGTATAGAAACCCAAAAGGGAGGTAGGATGTAAAAATCATTGTGACATCATCATCAGGAGAAGTTACCTAGATTGGTGTGGTATTTTTATATCTCAATTCTTTTGGCCTGAAGTCATGAATTCTCCCAGCCTTAAATGAACCACAGATTAGCTCTTTGCTTTTAAAAGGATTTTATTTAAGTTTTCTGTACGATAGCTGTCCAGGCTTAGTCAGCCGAAGGAATGCCCTTTTGCTTTCGTTGGACAATAGTTAAATCTCTTCCGGTTTCTGACCAGAATGTATATTTGTTACATTAAGCAGTTCAAAGAAAAACTTATATTTGAGGAAACATATTTATGTTTGTGCTAGGAGTTTCTGATGGGGATTTTTTTTTTTTTTTAAGGTTATGAATAACGTTCGAACTCTAAACCCTCACGAGTTCCCTCAGTCTTGAAATCTGAATTAAGTAAAATCTATTTCGGTTTTTTACCCAAATGTATATTTGTTACATTTAGCAGTGGATGAAACTGATATTTTAGGTACCATATTTTCATTTGTGCTAGGAGTCTCTGATGGGGATGTCTTTTACATCTTTGTTTTATCTTTTGGCATATAAACCATATGCCTGACTGACTCATCCACAATTAAACCTCACATATATTCGATTACCCTAGGTCTTCACATATCATCTTGAATATGCATATATAAGATTGATTAATTTTACTTTAGTGAGTGATGTCTTGAATATTTTTAAAAATTTTCTTTGACTAGCATTCTTAAAAGATAACTTCAAAGATTTCTCTGTTCCTTTTCCTCCCTTCTCACCATTTTTTGATCTGAAAAGCTGGAAATGGCCTGGTGAAGAGCTAGCTCATCGACGACTTGTCTGAGCATGTCGGTCTAGCTTTTCCTCGCTGTTTTTTATAGCAAGAATGACCTGATTTGGTGCCAGGCCCTCATTGGAGCCCCAAGAGACTAGATACGCCGTCATTTGAGCCCAAAAACGTCCCTGATGTGCGTTTGGGTTTTGGGTATGGTTTCTGGCACTTGCTTCTTGGACCTGATGCCATTGTGTGGTAGATCTAGCTTTCTATAGCCTACCCTGGTGCTGGATGGCCGCATCTGATGCGCAGTGGCACTGATCTGTGTTCCAGCCATGGCCAATCTGTGGGCAAAGGCCCAAAGGGTAAGGGGATTGAGAAATGGGAAGAAAAAAGATAAGGGAAAAAAGAAAAAAAAAAGACTTTGCCATATCATTTTCCACATCATCATTCCACTTATCCAAAAAATGCCACGTTAGCGTGAGATTAAATGGTCAAAATGGCCATGTCATCATTCCATCCAAGTAAGGGTTTAATTTAAAATAAAAACATTTTAGACAATTGGACATGGCAAAAGAACTGAAGTCTATCTAAAATTTTCGGCCAGGGTTTATATATGAATTTAATTATAAATAAACTTAAGAATTCTTAGCCAATGAATCCCATATGGCAATTGGCAGAAACCATTGGATGAAGTTTTTTAACCTTTTCATGGCTTGGATCTGAAGGATATTATAAGAGTTTCAGGGTTCAATTTTATTATAATAGAAAAGGTCAATTGTAGAACTATTTAGTCTAAATGATTCATTCATTTCTCTTAGTAAGTAAAATCTCGCAAGGTTAAAATTTGATCCCAACACGTAGAAAATTTTTTTTCTAATTTTCTTGAACTTTTACCTTCTTTGTACCAAAAAGGAAAAGGTTTAGTATACATATTTGTGAATATATTACTCCCTCCATCTCAAATTATTTGGATGTTACTGATTTTCATGGAGTTATAAAAATAACTTCAATATATTTAATATTAAAATTAAAGTTTCATAACTTTTAATATAAAAAAGTAAAAGAAAATTAATAAAAAGTTATTTTAAAATATAAAAAGTAAGAATTTTAAATATTAAAAAAAAGACATAATTTTGAAACATCTAAAAAAAAAAAGATGGATAAAAATAACGAGAGAGAAGGAGTATATTTTTTTCCTATATTACTACACTAATAATTTAATGTGATAGATGAAATATGAAATGTATTGTGTAATATTCCCTTGTAATATATAGTAATCTTAACCAAAGTCCTAATAAAGTACATATTTTAATAATATTGAAGATGTAATATTAAAGTTTCATGTCAATTGATAATAAAAATATTCTAGAAGTATGAACCAAAACGTCTCTTAATGAAAGCACAAGACTAATATACATATGAGTGAAGCATATGATGTTTCATGCTTATTTCTAACGTAATTTTGCAGCATTAATCAGGCAGTGGAAAAAGAAGAGGGATCAGACAATGGGAATTATTGAAGATGTTTGGTGATATTTCAGCTTCTGTTGTGCTGCATTTTACCAGCGACTTGTAGAGAGGGAAGGCTTAATTTTTCAGTTGGAGAGACAGAGAGAGAGAGAGAGAGAGAGAGACCTTTCACCTTTAAACTACCCCTTAATTAAATTGCTCACTAAGCAATCCCTCTTTCTCTCTCTCTCTCTCTCTCACCATAACCACACCTTCATTCCTTCATTCATCCATTTTCATTCACGAGTTTGATTTCGGAAAGAATGGACAGCGAGTGCAATCCAAGTAATAAGCGCCATTATGACATTACAATGTCCAAGAGAACCAGGAAGCCATTGAATCTTCAAGAAACTAATCATACCAATGCTTCCTCTAAATGGGATCAAATCACCCCAAGAAAAGGTGATCATGAGGAGGAAGAAAGTGATCGAAAAAGCTTGAAGCAACTCATCAAGGGGGACTCAAACGCAAAGGACACGACCAGATCAGAGTGCAGGAGTAGTAATTCACTAGGTCACCACTTCACGGAAGAACCGAAACAGCTGCAGCAGCTGGTGAAGAAACATCAACAAGATAACGGAGTGAAGCTGAAAGGACTGATGAGTCGCTATGCCAAAGTTTTGAGCCTTTTGGTGAAAGTGAAGCGTGAGCCGAGTATTGGGTCCAGGAAAAAACATCTTCTCCGGTTAACAATGTAGGCTATATTGGCTATATTTCTCAGATTTTTGAGATCTCATCATCATATCTCAATATCTTATGCATGCATGCATATATGAATACTATATATGTTTGGATATATACAAACTCCTACCTTCTTTTATTGGGTTCTATTGTTATATTTCATGTAAGTAGTTAATTAATAAATTAGTATTTGTATCTCTCTGTATATTTATTTATTTATTTATTTATTTGTTCAATTTAAAATGAAACATTAGATGAATTATACACATTTTATTTTTTAAAAATTTAATGAAAAAAACTTTTTTTATGATAAAAATGATATTTATTAGATACGTTTTTAAGTCGTTAATGATAACATGGGTTTTTGTTTAGTTATAATTTTTTATTTTATTTATTTATTTATTTTTATTTTCTCTAGATAAATGCCCAATTATTATAATAATTTCTTGAATCTAAATAGAAATTGGAGGAAACTTAGAGGGATCAAGATCAATTAGGTTTTGATCAAATGAAAAGGAAAAATCGAAGTTAAGTTGGAGAAGGTATTTCTATCTCGTTTCAATTTGAAAGCCAGATGTTCTTTGCTAGCTGGGAAACTCTAAAGAACAAAATTTCTTTTATATTTTTAGTTATATATATATATATTTTTTTTTCTGAAAAAACTTCTCTCATGTCTTTTTCTTCGCGGAAATTTTATCCCCAAATAATCAGCTACTATTTGACCACTTGCCAAATATTTCATCTCATCGGTTTATTACAAACCTCCATCATTTAATTAAGTACGAAGACTATATATTTATAATTCTTTTTACTACAATTTTATAACTATTTAATTACAATAAAAATTTATTATTTATAAATATGAGTTTCATATCAAAATTTGATAGATAAGATAAATTTCTAAACTATGATTGATTATTTTTATTTGAGTGCGCTTGTAGACATTATTATTTATCTTGATTTTTGTTGGGAAATTTTTTTTTATTAAATTTTAAAAAATTATATTTTAAATTAAAATAAATAAAAATTTCCATGTCAATGTGCGTAATCCATCAAATGTTTAATTTTAAATTGCTTCATTAATTTATATATATATATATATATATAGAGAGAGAGAGAGAGAGAGAGAGAGAGAGAGGTGTACATCAAATTTGAAACGATGAAAATATTAGAAAGGTATCTCAAATTTCAAAACATTTTTGGTAATACAATCACATCTTACTCAATGCTTATCATATTTAAGATTAAAATATATCAAAGGAAAAGAAATTAAATGCTCCTTCTAATAACGTAAAATTTATGTAATAAATCTAAAAGTCATAGAGCTCATAATTAGATTAAATCTTATGACTGAAATAAAAATTCTTTAAATATCTTTCAAACGAAGTTTGATGTATGATTTTCACACTAAACTTAGAAACTTATTTTGGTCAAGATAATTTCTTATTTTATTAATCAAACAGAAAGAATATGTCAACATTTTAATTTGAATTTAAAATAATTATTTACTTCATTAATTTCATATCTTAATCGAATTGTTAAATTTAATTTAACTATGTTGAAAATATATATGAAATTTGGGTTAGTCCAACTAAATGTTGGTTTATTTATTTGTTTAATTTTTAAATGAATGACTATTTTATGGATATTGAAAAGTGTTTATTATGATTTTAATTTTTTAATAAAAATTAGTTAATATTTTTCAAAAATTATATAAATAATGGAGCTGTTATGGATCCATTCGGATAAAATGAATCATATCATCTATAATAATGATATTATAATTAATTAATTAAAAATTAAAATGTTATAAAAATATTACGTGCTACATAATTTTTTTTTATTATGGTTAAGTAATAGAAGTATTTTATTAAAAAGAATGTAAATGAAAGCCGAACTGTGGCGGGACCCAATCCGAGTAGACGGTCCGATCCAGCCGTCGAGCATTCTTTGGTACGCTTTATGATTTGCGCAATGGCCATTGCCAGTTCCCTCATTCTCAGATCTTTCTCGTTCTTCGTCACATCCACTCTTTCCAGATCCAAATCGCCTTTTAATTCAAACAAACACGTTGGAATACAAAATTAAGCTTTAGTCTTTTGATCCATCTAAACAAACACATTTTTTGTGTTATTAGAAAGAAAATCAAAGACCTCTTATTCCCACCAATTTTCTCTTGTTTGATGATTTGTAGATCTTGAAATGGATCCACAGCCTTCCCCATCGGGAAGGTCGTCCCCAATAGGTCGAACCGCTTCATATTCTGTCACCGATGCGGGTAGCCAAAGCCTCTCCTCGATCCTCAACAACCCTCACGCTGGCAAATTGGAAGCCTCCTGGGTTGGTTGGTGGTCCGTTTCTCCTCCCGAATTCGCTCCCTTAACCTCCACTAAAGCCTCCTCCGACCTCGTTCGATCCGATTTCCAACCCTACGTCTCGTCCATCTTCGATTCCTACCATCGCTTCGAGGACATTCAAAACCACACCACCAAGGAGCAAAGCCTCGATGTGGACAACATTGGGGAAGCGCTCGTGGCTTGTTTAAGGGAGGTCCCAGCCCTTTATTTTAAGGAAGATTTCGCACTCGAAGATGGAGCCACCTTCCGGGCAGCCTGCCCTTTGACCGATGTTTCTGAAAACGTTGTGCTTCAGGAGAAGTTGTCACAGTATTTGGACGTGGTTGAGCTGCATTTGGTGAAGGAGATTTCGTTGCGCTCCAATTCTTTCTTCGAAGCGCAAGGGCAGTTGCAGGACTTGAATGTTAAGATTGTGGAAGGATGCAGTCGGATTCGTGAGTTGAAGGAAACTATTAGGCTTTTAGACACTGATTTGGTTGACTTTGCTCGGCAGATTCAGGAGTTGAATGCCACTAGGACCAATTTGTTGGCACTCCAACATAAATTGAAGCTTATTCTATCCGTTAACCAAGCGATATCGGCCCTTAAATTGGTTAGCTCTTTAATTTCCGCTTTTCTCTATTACTTTGAGTAATCAACCAATGAAGAAAAGAAAATGGAAAAATATAGATTTGAAGAGCCTACTTTGTTAATGCTCGGCGATGGGTTTGATTTATTTTTCTTGGATATGCAGCTTGTTGCATCTGCAGAGTGTGCTGGAGCCTTGGATGTTATTGATGATCTGCGGCACTTGTTGGTATACATTCATCTATCCACTTTTGTTTTTAAGATTTATGTTGCTTTGCATGCCTCTGAGGTTTAACTTGTTCAATTGGATTTTAATGTTTTGCCTTTTGTTCTTTCTTTTATTTTCTGCTACATGCACACCCTCCTTGCATCTTTTTCTCCTGTTTTTCCTGCAGCTTCCTCCACTTTATTAAATATGCTGTTTTAATCCTACACATTCATGATGTTTCTTTAAGTAGCACTCACTATTTCATTAGGTAACTATATGTTGACTGCATACTGATGTTCAATTTAAATTCTTCATGCTGTATTTTTCATGATGATAAAAGTTTTTAGCTTCTTTTGTAGCTTGATGATAGTTTTTTCTGTATTGAGGTTTAGTTGTGGTGTAGGTGTGACTTTGTAAAACTGGCAACAATTTTATTTGAAACCTAGGATAGATTTTGGGAAATTTGTGCTTTTGATCTCTTTAAGGGGCATTGGGTGCCTTCCTAGGAAAATATCAGTGGAAATGACTTTGCTGAAATGTAAATTGATAGGAGAAGATATTGATGCATTTGGTATGAATGGGAGAGTGTAGATTAAATTCCTGAGAAAATAACATTAACATGTTTGATTGACTAGACGCTTTCTGAGAAAGTGCTGTCAATTCCAAAATTGTACTCCCAATTAAAATGAAAATGATTGGATGTGGTGCAACAGTAAGCCTTCATTTGTTTCTCAAGTTGCAATGTTCGTGATTAGAAGACTTATTGTAGACCATATTAAATGAATCCTAGTCATATAATGTTGCATGAATTAAAATTAATTACCAGACAAGGGGGACTAGGTGTGTAAGATGGGAAACTTGAAGGCAGTGGTTTTGATTGGTGAAGGAATTTTATAGCTAACTTCCTATAGCTTGAGAAAGCTAGTTTCCTGCTTTGCCCTATGAGGGAAATTTCCATGGTTTTTGCATGGAAGATGCCCATAGCGAAGCTGCCTTACTAGGAATCTGTCATACTAACTTAGGGAATCTCCTACTGACTAATTAAATTCCTAGGAGACTGAGCTACTTTGCACATACCAAACATTAACCAAAAGTGGAAGTGTATAGCTAGAAGAGGGATAGAGACAGTTAACTAGGTTGTAGCTGAATTGTTGAAATATATACATATATTTGGTGTCAAACCTTGTTGCTAGTTGAAAGCTATGGTATTCTGAGTGAGGATGGTCAGAAAATTTTGGATTGAAGGGAACGGGAAACTATCTTTGTTCCACTTGTATGCAATATGAAGGAAAACAACGGAAGGAAGCCCAATATCAAACCTAGGATAAATCCAAATAAAGTGATTGTTATCTTTTTTTCCAACTATTGGATTTAACATTTTGCTCCAGTTAAGCTATAAAAGTTCCTTCTCTTTTTAATCTCAACCATGCCTTGTTGGTTCCATGAGGGCATGGCTGCCTTTGTATAATAAGATGAAATAATTGGAGCATCTCAAGTATGCTGAAAAGAATTTCAGTGCATAACTGCTTGTGGATAGATTGATGTATGGCTAATGGCTTACCCCTTTCTTTCTTCATTAACTACACTTTGCCCTTTGGTTTTGCTAACTTAGTCAATTTTCAACCTACATCCACGGGCAAAGGCTATGAGAAATTTCTACCATAAAAAAGAAGACTGTAATCAACAACAAGATGTAGATTACAACAAGTTTTACCCTCAAAATTCTCTGAACCAACACAACCCTACAACGTAAGAACTGTTACTAAACTCTCTTTTTACCCTCCAAAGTCCTAAACTCCCCTTTTTTTCTTCTATTCTACCAAACAAGTGGAGAACATTGAATTATCTCTCTCAAAACACTTTTATACCCCACAAATTTCAAATT